AAATGATCTTCTTAAAAATGTAATACAAAGCTAATCTGTTATACAGATAGTGCAAAATAAAGATCTAAACTAAAAGATATCTAAAGGAAGATAACCTAATCAAAATTATTATAAATGCTTTCAAATACTTTGCTTTATATTAAATAAATTGGATTATATTTTTGATAATCTTGATATATTATTGAATCAGCTATATTTTTGATAACCTTGACATATTACTAAATCGACTACATTTTTGATAATCTTGATATATTACTGAATCAGCTATATTTTTGATAATCTTAATACAGTTATCCTCCCATATAATCACATGGTTTGTTCTACCCAAAATTGGTAATTGTAGAGGAGTGTGATTATAATTATATTTCCTCCTATATAATCACATAAATTAGGTATAGTCATATGATGTGAGTGTATAGGAGTATAATTATATATTTTTATCATTATTATTCTTGTATCAAAAATTTTATTGCAATATTGACTATATTATATTATAACTAAAAATTCTAATTATTACTAGTAGTCTCTTGAATCTCTAATGAGCCAAAAAAATCTGTAATAGATTTTTGTTTCTTTGCTTCAGCATTTTTTTTCTCCATTAGAGGCAAGTATTTTTGAAATACCTTCAGATCATCAGCATTAAAATCACTACTCATCTGCTATTCAAAAAACATGATAAAATTTTTTAACTCAAGTAATACATTTAAAGGTAGAATGTTGCATAATTTCTCATCACTGTCGTTAGGATTATCTTGCTTATCTTCTAATTGCTCTGCCAGTACAATTTCAATAATTTGAGCATCATTGAGAGGTTCTTCAGTAGGTATATTTGCATTAATGATCATTACATAGCATTGTATTTCTTATATAATGGTTGGATTTATTTCTTTGCTTGTGAAATCACTTAATAGTTCACCAATTTGATATTCCTCTTATCCAGATGATTCCTGGTATACATTCTCATCAAACTCAACCTCAACATTAGATACTAATAGCAAAATGTCCATCTTTTTCTAGCAATTTACAATTATTAATTCTGTCACCTTATCCCACGATTCTGCCACATAATTAATAGTCTCTTTGATATTGATCTTATTTCTAAATAGAAATAATAAATTTTATTAGTTGATAAATAAATTATAATCAATAAATAGCTCTCATGTTTATGACATGGTATTTTCATAATAAAGCATAAAATACATATAGAAAGATCAATACACCATAAAATATGAAATGCATACTGAAATAATCATAAAATAACAATGAAATACGTGTACAAACTGTGCTTCACATACTGAAATACATGACTGAAATAGTGAAATGAATATGCATATCATGATATGCAATGATAAAATATGCATACTGAAATATGTAATTGAAATAATAAATCAAAATATGTGCATGATAATAAAATACGCGTACCAGTTACATATTTCAAAATATACTAAATTGAGAAATAATGAAACTCTATAATAAATACACGTGATTGAATATAAAATTTACAAAATATTCATGATGAAAATTGTATGATGAATATATGTAGTTAAATACAAAATTCATAATAAAGTCATACAACAAAATATGGAGAATTAAATAGAACAATAAAATATTATACAATTAAATAGAAAAAACAGATCTAAACTGCTTACTTTTGGATATCCTCTCTGTTTTTAAATATTTTTCTTGATATTTTACCTTGAAACTTTTAATAATATCTGCATCCATCAGTTGAAGATGTGTCATAGTATTGGGAGGCAAAAATTTGATCTTGATATTTGTTAGATGTTGGTTGGACAGATCAGGAATTCTATATACACTTTCTCGACTTGTACCATGCTTGCCTTTGCTACCCCATAGAATGGCATGATGATTATGTTATTGATCAACTTGGGTAGTATTGCTTGATCTTGGGTGGCCATGACCATGTCTACCTCGATAATTATTTATTATCCCTGCAGTGAATGATTTCCCTTGATCACTGTTACTAGACTCTTTATCTTCTTCCTGTGAGTCTTGAGAATTGGATATGTTATTATTTGGATTATAATGACTTGTCATATTATCAACTAAAAGCAGAATTTGGCAACTTTCAAGGTAAAATTTATCATCAAGTTTTTTTAACCATTCTCTAAAAATATCATCCTGCATCCATACTTTTGCATTGGCATGATATGTAACAGATAATATATTATGATTGATGTGAGATAATGCTCATGGTTCAATTAAGAATCCAATAACAAGTGGCTAGAGTTTTTCAATACCGATGGCATTAGAAGTCAATATGATTGTAATACGTGTGTAATTCTAATAATATTAAAATTTAAACAATAAGAATATAAAATGATTTATCATTTTTGTTGCTTATCTTTTTCCAATCAGAGTAAGATTAAAATACCAAAGTTTGATTTGGTGCCATACAAAAAAATAAACCAGTTTCATCTGCATTGAATATATTATCCAATAGATATTCTTGAATAATATCTCATAATCTTTGTCTTGATTCAGGAAGTAATTCTATAGGTGCACTTTTGGCTTCTCCATATAATTGAAAATTTTGCAAGTTGTTATGCTTCTTGAATTTAAGTATTCATCCATTGGACAATTTAAGAGCATCATTAGGTAAAGAAAAAGCCTGAATAAAATAAGAAGCTTTTTCTTTGATTATTGCTTTGGTTAAAAACATTTCACCCTGAATAACTTGCTCAATCCATAATTGCATAGATTGATCTAACAAAGAATATTTTACTCTTCTGTGTTGGAAAATCTTAGCAATAGCTTAATTTTCAACCACAACCAATCATCTGTCTTTGTTTTTTAAAATTTTAGACACAGTTGAATGGTTAAGATTTCTTTTTGAATCTTGATTATTAAAATATTCAGCAATTTGCTGGTGTGTTTGATTTGGATTTGTCAAAGAATATTAACAAATCATATTTTTGAAGCTATCACTAATTGCTATGCATGTTCTTTTGATTAGAGATTGAATAGACATAATGACAAAGAAAATTTTTTTGATAAATGATCAATAAATAATACTGAATTATTATATATAGAAAAAAATTTTGATTGGTGATTAAATAAATAATACAATCATTTTAATGCTAGTAATTTTTATTCTGCTAGTTAAATAATTATATAATTTATATTATATATATTATATGACTTTGTGATTATATAGAGGGATAAATGCTAATTAAAAATTTTTTTCTATTGCTCTAAAGTATGATAGTGATTATAAGACAATTGTGATTATACAGGAGTATTTTAATTAATAAAAAATCAGGTCCACAAAATTATGTGATTATATAGAATTTGTGATTATATGGGAGGTGATTATATAGGAGAATGACTGTATATTACCAAATCTGTTATATTTTTGATAATCTTGACATATTACTAAATTGGTTATATTTTTGATAATCTTGACATATTACTGAATCAGCTATATTTTTGATGATCTTGACATATTACTGAATTAGCTATATTTTTGATAACCTTAACATATTACTGAATTAGTTACTTTTTTGATATCCACTTTTTTTACTTGACTTGATGACCCACAAAAATATAATTTCTCTATGTATAGTATCTATAATAATTATATCTTGATAGTTCAAAATTTTTTAACATAAGTTATCTCTACTTAAAGTATATTACTATATACATATTATATTCAAAACTATATTGAGATCAAATTATATGACACAAAAATAGTTATTGAATAAATTACCTTATATTATATCAAAAGTACTTACGTGAAATTTCAATAAGATAGGCATATAAATCAGTACCTAAACCTATCTATCATGACTCAAAAACTCTTTTTATATAATTCAGATATCAAAGTATTAATTTTTTATTTGAATTTTTTCTCTTAGTTATTGTAAGAGATAACAAAAATCCTCTTATCCAAAATATATAGCTAGTCAAATGTAGCAATCTCTCTTCTTCAGAAATTACTATTTAATTAGATAATATTATCTTGATATCTTATATTCACTTTATTGAAAGATTTATAATAATTATATATATTTAATGAGTACTAAAGATTTATTTTTCAGTTCTTTTTTGTGTGGAGTAGTAGGTATACCTATCTTAGTCTCAAAATTTTGCTTATATTTTAAGAAGTTAATCTTACTCATACTCTTGTACTCTTTTTTTCAGTAATTTTAATTATCCTGCAATTCAAAGGCAATCTTGGTTTGTCATTATTTTAACCTTTTCTGAGACATTTGGAATTTTTACTATAAAAGAAGAATAAGGATGTCTATATTAAAATCATTTTTAATGAGAAATTCTGAAAATAGAGAAGTTAAAAATTTGGATATTTTTTTCTCAACTATACTGACTTTACTAATAGTAGTATTAACATAGTATCTATCTTGAGAAAGATCAGAAGATTAATTATAGGCTAGTATTTTCAAAGATAAATCTTTTTCATCAATAGTATTACTAGATGAATCAGAAATTTTCTGTTCAATATATTTAAAAAGATTCTGAATCTTATCACTTATCTTTGACTTATATGATAAAAGAACTAGAGCTATAAGGTAATAATCAGAATTATCTAACTTTCTAGCTATTACTTCTTCTTGATTATCAAAATCATAACTATCATATGACTTTCAATTAATTTGATATGAATATTTCCAAATCTATTGTCCTTTAGATCCTACTAATTTTTGCTCACTTTTTATAGTATAGCCACACCAATTATCAACAATTACATTAATTATCTTTATAGCTAAGTTAAAATCTGACATTTCTTTTGCATGAGATTTAAAGCCAAAGAGTAATAAAGATTAACTTCAAATTTCTATAAATTTTTCATGAGATATCTTAAATGTAACTTTTACCTAATCACTAGAGAAAATGCATTTATTATCTATACCTGTAAAATCAAGTGACTGTAAAAGTTCTCATATAACTTTTTAATGATTTGTTAAATATGTTTTGTATAAATCTTTTACTACTGAATCTTCAAAATTATCTTTAGCATTATAGCAAGTATCTTCTTATTATGTGATATTTTTAATCTTTAATTCTTCTATTATACTCTCTTCATCATAATCTTGCTTGTAAAAATGAGATAGATGCAAGAAATATTTTCTAGGTTTGGGTGGACTAAAATGTTCTACAAAATCTTTATCACAGAGTTTATTCTAATTCTTGATACTTATACTATTTCCATTATAAAGATTCCACATATAAAAATGCTTAAGTGTTATAGTTTTTGCAACTGAATGTTCTGAATCGAGTTTAAGAAATTTAGCTTCCTCAGGAGTAAGATTTCAAGAAGTGGTAACTATATCAAAATCTATATGCTTGATAACTGATACTTTAGTCCTAATTTTATTGTAAACTTTTTTATGAATTTCTATAACTTCTTGACTCTTATTTATTTTTATTAGTTTAAGACTTGCCCTAGTACTAATAATAAGACTATATAAAATCTCAATAAAATTTCTTGCTGAGAGATGTTTTTGATGCTCAATTTTAATAAATGATATTACAACAGAGGATTGATCAAGTTTATAAGAAATGCTATCTATATCCTATTCATGATATCCTTTAATTGCTATAGGCAAATTATTAGACTAAGCAACTATAAGTTCTGTCTGAATATTTTCATGATCTGGTAAACAAGAAAATTCACTAGAAATTTTTTGATAATAAAGAAAAAGTATATACTTTTTACAATCACAAATTCAGAATATCATTTGGATAAATACTTCTATATTAATTAGAGTTCCAATATTTGTAATATCTATAACTATATTAAAGTGATTAGATTTCTCGAAAGAAATATCTACTTCTACTATATTTGTATAAGCCACATAATTAAGCTCACCTCAAGTAGTATTAATATCTAAAAAGTTTTTTTTTTGTTATTTTTCATCCATATCTCCATAATAGGCACAAGCTTTGAAAGATAATTTAGAAGCTTCTTTTACTAATGCTCGAGCTATATTAGAACTTATTACAATAAATGCTATGCATTTATCATGTTTCAAATACTCAAATCCTATTCACATAGCTTCAGCCTTACTATTTAGATTATAAAGATACTCAACAGTTTTATTTATAAGTAGTTAGAATTTATTATCAATTACTTGAATATTTTTATTATAATAAGTCTTGAGAAATATTAGTGTACTTTCATTTGTAAATACATCTATGACTAAAATATGTTGGGCTGATTTTAATATATCACGCATTGCATTTTCAGATTCCTACATATTTGAACTGTTATTTATTTGATATTAAATTATATTGACTTTATCTAAAATAGCTATAATTAGATAAGCTAAGAATTCTATATAAGAGAAACTTTCAACTTGAACTATGATAATATCTTATTTATCTATAGACAAGCTCTATTTATCTTGATAATTACTGAGTTTGGATAATTTAAGATCATTAATTTTACTCATTGATTTATTACTAAGAGTTTTTTGTTAAGAAATCCAGATGATGCAAGATATATTAGCTTTATTCTTGACTAAATGATTGAGATATTTTCTTAGATCTTTTATTTTTTCTGTCATTATAGGAAAGCAAATCAAAGTTATACTAAATTCTTTGCTCAAGAAATTGGGATAAACTTCTGGAAAATCTTTTATTTTCTTTATATTAATAACTTCTCCAAATAATTCAGAAAGCAAATGAGAATTTAATACAGCTTTGACTATTCATTTATCTAATTCTAATTTAGATTTCACTTTTGATTCTACTTTATCTGATATCTTGTCAAAGCTTAATCCCTTATGATCTGGCTTATATTATTTTTGGCAATAATATTTAAGTATGAAATATCTATTTTTTCAAATAAATCTGTAGAATTGGTCTTTTTCATATTTAACATCACATATAAGATATTCTTTAATGATTGTGCTTAAAAGTTAATGAATTTCTTCTCAATTCTTCTAATCTGAAATCACCCATATATTACAATAACTAAATTAGCTCTTTTAACCAAAGCATCATCATCATCAATAGATTTAAATTCCTT